TTATGTATTGTTGTTAACTTTGAAAATTTCAAGCATTTACTAATTTTTTTAAAAGAGTTGATTCAATACATTCCAATAAGCCTTACCTTTTAGGACTTTAAATTGCCAAGAGCCAAACCACCAAAATATGAATTTTAATCCCCATTGATTGTTGAGAAAGTCATTACTCCAAGTTGAATCAAATTGTAGTAAGTGACATATACTCCACCCATTACTGTGTTTGAAGTAGCTTGAGTAATTGGTGTACATTATGCGATCAAGGGATAATATGTACTTTTAAATAGTTTATATTTTAGGTCAGATTAGGTTTGTAATCCTCTCATCTAGTGAGAGTCAACATGAAGATGGCCTATATTTTCCATTGAACTCAATCAATAAAATTTAAATTGTTCAAAATGAAATATAATCATTTAAATATAACTTTCAACATGTTTTTTATTTTCTATCACAATAAGTTGATAAGATCTACGTTTTACGTTCCTCCTTTCTTTGGAAGAAGCGGCACTTCCAATATTCTATAAAGAATTTTTCCAATATAACATACGAAAAATAGTTTAAAAATAAATGTACATATTGAATGATATAAATTATTTTTGTTCTTTTAAATTCAAGGTGAGTATAAAAATAGATTAAAGTCAATGACAGTCTTGGAGCAATTTTTAATAATTAATGTCGTAATAATTTAAGTTGCTAAACTTGGAGACCACGTCTAGAGTTGTTAATACAGGCCTACTGATGAGCTAGAGATATTAAAATCATTTCTATTCTCTAACCCTTCAACAAGGCAGAAAAGTGGTTCAAATAACTAAAAAAGGAAGAAAGTTTTTACCTAGGAAAGAAGCCACCCCAACTCATTAGCCTAATTGCAATACAACCAAGTCTAATGCAAAATATCACTGCTTTTGGTGGCACCACCAAGTCATGGAGGGCAGCACCGGCTTGTTATAGGCAGCTGGATGACAAACCAAGAATGCCACAGCTTGTCGAAATTAATGGTGCTGATGACAAAAGGCCACAAGATTCTCACAAAATTGACGTCTCATTTCATGAGAAGTACTACTTTTTCTACTACAAAAGAAGATCGCACCAATACCGGGATTGTTGGATATATTTCAAGGGGCATTCCCATGGACAACTAGTGGCGATTTATCTGAATGCTGTTTTTGAGAGCCAGAAGGAAAGTACAATACCCATCATCTTCCAAGCTGGGATTGCAATCTTCCCTTTAAGTTTGCCACATTATCATCATCACTACCTGATTGGAATTTCCACGCTAAATACACCAAATTACCGTCACTACCGAAGCATTGCTATGGTTGTAATGTAATGGTGCTGACAGGCATTTTTTCTCCAGCTTTTGCATTCTTCAGATGGGGTAAGGATAAAAAAGGACGGATTGTCGAAAACTGCAGACTAACTGAACCTTACGCTTCGAACCAACTTATGCAATTCACTAATGCTTTTTGATTTCAAGGAAAATTTTATGCACTGAGCCTGTAGGGAAGTCTAGCAGTTATAGATGGCGTTGATTCTTGTTTTCAAATCACAGTTACGGGAGTAAACAGGGCCGTGCCTTCTGTAGTGTCAAGGCAAATCCGGGAGTATTTACTTGAATCGAATGGAGAAATATTTTTGGTGTTCCTAATATCGAGAAAATCAATCAACGTAGTGGATGATGTTGAAGGTTTTAGACTTGGCATTTGTAAACTTTTTTGTGAATTAAGGTCGAAAGCCTTGGCGATATGATGTTTTTCATGGACGACGAATGATGTATGAGCCTGTCTGCAAGTAAAGTAGGATGCAGGGGTAATTGCATCTATTTTACTCATCGTAGAGTCAAGGATTGGTGGGGTTTTTGACATGGAAACATGTTACATCTCACCAACTTTTGGATCTAACATTGAATTCACAAAATCCCCAATGTGGGATGAACTAATGGAACAGTAATAAGTCTATGCATGTTCATTTTTTTCTTGTATTTGTCGTCAACTTGTGTATGTGTAATAAGGAATGACCATTTCAGCATCTTCTAGATGCTTCTGGAAAAATAACTTCGGCATGTCAAAGTAGTAATCAAACAAGGTTTCAAGCATGGCAAACAAATACGATAAGGTCAAGACCCGAGAAGGAAACATCGACTGATATACAGAATATAAGTGCAGATAGAGATTAATGTTAAGGGTGTGCCTCAAAATTAGGCTTTGGATTCTTCAATATTACGTATGAGATTTGGAAAATCAATTAAATCCAAAATTAAGGAAATAAAATTTGGGCTTCGAAATTTTTTTCCCTTTTACATGATTTTTCTTAATTGTAACCTAATTTCTTACCTTTAAGGACTCTAATAGGGTTATGGACGTGACCTATAAATTAAAGGCTCATGTGTCAGTTTTATAGAAACTTTTTTACTGTTCAATTGTAATATCTCTATATTGTCGGGTTTAATAAATTTCACCGTTTCTCTGCTTAGTTTCTCTTTTTCTATTTTATTTTAATCTTGTTTTCATGGTGCGATCTTGAAATTATTCCCATTAAACCTCAATCTTGCATCGCTTTTGGGATCAACAAGTGGTATCAGAGCATGGGTTGCAAGTTCTTCGTGATTTGGTTGAAATTTTTCAAGGATGAATTTGTTGAAGTATGAAATTTCGCTGCTGGATTGCAATACAAGATTTTCACTATGGCAAGTAAAGGTGAGAACTATGTTGACACAAATAGATCTTAACGATACTTTGCTAGGTTTTGAGAGGATCCTAGCAAATTTGTTTATGGAGGAGAAATAACGGAAGGATTGAAAGGCTCTAGGGCAAATTCATCTTCACTTATCCAACAATATTCTGCAGGATGTTTTGAAGAAGAAGACGGTGGCTGCTTTGTGGCTTAAGCTGGATTAGTTGTGCATGACAAAGAGTCTGACCAGCAAACTGACTCTAAAGCAAAAGCTGTATCTCCATCGCATGGCAGAAGGAGGGTCATTGGAGGATCATCTTGCCGTGTTCAAGGAGATTGTTGTAAATTTGAAGACGTTGGAGGTAAAATATGATGAAGAGGATCTGGCCTTGATCTTGTTGTGTTTGCTACCCAATTCTTTTTCGTCGTTTCGTGATACTATATTGTATAGTGGTGACATGCTGACCATTGATGAGGTATATGACGCCTTGTTCTCAAAGGAGAAAATTGAGCTGTTGGTTGGAGATTCTACATCTAGGGATGGGGATGCTTTAGTTACTTATGGTGATCGAATGTGAGGTACAATAATGTGTGTTGTTATTACTGCAAGAGAAAATGACATATTAAGAAAGATTGCGACAAGTTATAGGATAAAGGTGATTTAAATGCAAATTATGCGGGACAATTAGGTAACGAGATTAACATTGTTGAGAATTTTTCGGATGATGGATATCTAATGTTGGTTGTATCTGATGGGGAATCCAAATATGGGGAGTGGATTCTAGATTTTGCATGTTTATATCATATGTGTTTCAATAGGGCTTTGTTTCAGACATATGAGACTGTAAAGCAAGGTGGAGTTGTCATGGGAAAAACCAATCTTGTCGGGTTGCAAGAATAGGTCGGGTCAAATTGAGGCTACAAGATGAGACAGTAAGGACACTTGATCAGGTTCGTCATGTTCCAAACTTGACAAGAATCTCATATCACTGAGTACCCTGGATGCAAAAGGGTATAAATTCTCTGGTGGATGTGGAGTCTTGAAGGTCTAAAGGGGTGTCCGGATTGTACTGAAGGGATGAAAGAAGTCTCAATTGTACATCTTGCAAGGGAACGCAGAACCAGTTAAGAGATATTTGGACAAGTTCAGTATCGTGGTGGATATTTAGTTTGGTACAGTACCTCTTGTGATGTGCTCTGGGTCGATACAAAACATTGCTCAGGGGAGCGTTAGTGATTCCACTTTGCCATCAATTTCAAAGATTGCCCTATGTTCATATGTCAGGGATGGACTCATGGAGCGTAGGTACAGTGGTGTTATTGATGTTTGTGATGCTTTTGGAATCGTTGAAGGTGACAGTTCTGATAAGGGACCTTCTGATCAAGCACTTTCTGCTACAAGGTATGTTTCGACTCTGTTTGGTCAACAGTAATTTCTCGGTAGAGTTTTGGAAACCCAAGATTTGGGTTTGGGTGTTGCTTGTGGACGCCGTGCAGAGGATGATAGTTTGGTGATGGAGAGGTTTAGTTATGCATTGAGGAGACTGGCCAATTCATTTCGATGCAGATGTATTTGAAATCTTGGAGTTTCATTCGTTGATCCAAAATTTTGAGTTAAGGTGGAGATTGTTAAGAGTGTGCCTCAAAATTAGGCTTTGGATTCTTCAAGATACGTATGAGATTTGGAAAATCAATTGAATCCAAAATTAAGGAAATAAAATCTGGGCTCCGAATTATTATTTTTCCTTTTATGTGATTTTTCTTAATTGTAACCTAATTTCTTACCTTTTAGGACTCTATTAGAGCTATGGACATATTATGGACGTGGCCTATAAATTAAAGGCTCCTCTATCAATTTTATAGAAACTTTTTTGCTGTTCAGTTGTAATCTCTCCATATTGTCGAGTTAAATAAAATTCGTCGTTCCTCTACTTAGTTTCTCTTTTTCTACTTTACTTTAATCTTGTTTTCGTGGTGCAATCTTGAATAGTTTATTATTGCCATTAAATCTCAATCTTGCATCGTCTTTGGAATCAACAATTAAAAGATGCCTCACAGCTGATTTCAAATCGTAAACCAGATGTGAAATGGTGAGAATTCAAGTTGCAGTCAACCAGTGCACATTAAAACTACTTACTAAAAACAAGAACAAAAAAAGGGATAAATAATGAAATAAAATCTAGAATAATATAATTGTGGAGTCTCTCAATCACAAGAATTTCATTACCAAAGTATATATTATACTAACCATAATTTGAAAAAGAATACAAGGTTGATTCCTATGAGTTTAAGAAAAAATTTGAAGGATAAACGAATAGCGCTCAGTATGTTTAAAGAAGCGCCACGAATGGACTAGAAGCCGCAGACGTGGTTATGTTTGAGGAATTGGTGCTGTGATCATAGCTCTGAGATTGATGTTCATTAGTCCGTGTTAGTTATAGGAGGGAAATATGTTGGCACTGGCATCATTGAGGGGAGTACGGGCAACTCTTCCTTGAAATTAAGGACGTGGATAGCTTGCCCTATTGATGGCCGGTGTCTGTCGTCTGGATGAACGCACCATAGCCCAACAACTGTCAAGTATTCCATTTCTCGAGCATCAAATTTTGCACATAGTTTTGGATCTGCTGCATCAAGTAGTTTTCCCTTTCCGTAGAGGTTCCAAACCCATTCCACCATTCCTACTTGATCTTCTGGTAATCTTGTATCAATTAGTCTTCTTCCACATGCTATTTCCAGTAATACAACTCCAAAGCTGTAGACATTAGATTCTTTGCTAGCCCTGCCAGTGATGACACATTCGGGAGCCATGTATCCCATTGTCCCAGCAAGCATTGTTGTTTGGGATCCTTTTTCGTGATCAACGAGTCTAGCTAATCCAAAATCACCGAGTTTTGCCTTGAAGTTGGAATCCAGCATAACATTGCTAGATTTTATATCCCGGTGCACAACACATTGTTCCCACTCTTCGTGTAGATAAAGCAAAGCCGAGGCCAAACCTTGGGCAATTTTGTACCTTTCTTCCCATGGCAAAACTGATTTGTTTTTGAATAGATGAAAATCTAAGCTGTCATTTGGCATGAACTCATAAACAAGTAGGAATTCTCCTCTTTCATGGCACCAACCGATGAGTTGCACAAGATTTTTGTGCCTCAGTAGGCTGATAATCTTAACCTCTGATGCATACTCTTTTATTCCTTGCTTAGATCCCTTCGCTACACTCTTGACAGCAATATGAGAATTAAGTAGTGTCAAGAAACCTTTATAAACTACACCAAACCCCCCTTCTCCAAGCTTCTCCTCCTCTGAAAAGTTGTTCACCACCAAAGCCAATTTGTTGTATGAAAACCTTTTAGGGCCACTGCCCTTTTCGAATTCATTGTCCATAGACAGATCATGAAAATGCTCATCCCCTTTTTTCTTCTTGTACTTTCTCCACAACAAATAGCCCACCAAACCCAAAGCAAGAACCAGAATTGACACTCCAGTGCTCAATCCGACAACCAGTCCCCTATTATTTTTTCTTTCCACCAGTTTGAAAATAAAATGAACTACCAATAATATAACCTAAAATTTTTATCTACTATCAACAAAAAAGAAATCTCCCTAGCGAATTCAGGCCACCACCTGAATCTGCCCCTACATGAGGCAATGGAATGTGACATCGTCACCAATGGGATTTGACTTCATTGCCTCGACCAAGAAGATAGCTGAGGTGACATACTTCAACACAATAGACTTAGAAAGAATGTGCTTGTGTGACATTTTATTTAGCTGACATCCACGTGGTGTGCCGGGTATAAAATAAATAATGTTGCTACACACACCACAAGCAAAGAGAAAACTAGAAGCATTAAAATACTATCATGAGAAAAGTCATTATGTATTATTGTTAACTTCAAAAATTCCAAGCACTTACTAAGTTTTTAATACATTCCAATAAGCCTTACATTTTAGGACTTCAAATTTCCAAGAGCCAAACAACCAAAATATGAATTTTAATCCCCATTGATTGTCATTACTCCAACATAATAAATTTGAACCAAATTGTAGTAAGTGACATATACTCCACCCATTACTGTGTTTGAAGTAGCTTGAGTAATTGGTGTACATTATGTTTTCAAAAGATAATATGTACTTTCAAACAGTCTATATTTTACGTGAGAATTGGTTTGTAATCCTCTCATTTGGTGAGAGTCAACATGAAGATGGCCTATTTGTTCCGTTGAACTAAATTAAAAAAATTTAAATTGTTCAAAATGAAATACAGTCATGTAAATATAATCTTCAACGTTTTCATTATTTTCTCTTACAATAAGTTGATAAGATCTACGTTCTACGTTCCTCCTTTTTTTGGGCACTTCCAATAATCTATCAAGAGTTTTTCCAACATAACTTATGAAAAATAGTTTAAAAATAAATGTACATATTGAATGATATAAATTAGTTTTGCTCTTTTAAACTCTTGCACATCAAGGTGAGTAAAAAAAAAAAGATTAAAGTCAATGACAGTTTTGGAACAATTTTTAATAATTAATGTTGTAATAATTTAAGGTGCTAAAGCTTGGAGACCACGTCTAGAGTTGTTAATATAGGCCCACTGATGAGCTAGAGAAATTAAAAGCATTTCTATTCTCAAACTCTTCAACAAGGCAGAAAAATGGTTCTAGAAACGGAAAAAGGAAGAAAGTTTTCAACTGGGAAAGAAGCCACCCCGAGTCCAAATCCAAAGCCATGGCCTAATCTTCCTCCCCAACCCATCAGCCTAATTGCAATACAACCAAGTCTAATGCAAAATATCACTGCTCTTGGTGGCACCACCAAATCATGGAGGTTAGCACCGGCTTGTTATAGGAAGCTGGACGACAAACCAAGAATGCCGCAGCTTGTCGAAATTAATGCTGATGATGACAAAAGGTCACAACATTCTCACAAAATCGACATCTCATTTCATGAAAAGTACTTTTTGTACTACAAAAGAAGATCGTACCAATACCGGGATCGTTGGATATATTTCAAGGGGCATTCCCATGGACAACTAGTGGCTTTGACTGGCGATTTATCTGAATGCTGTTTATGGGAGCCAGAAGGAAAGTACAATACGCGTCATCTTCCAAGCTGGGATTGCAATCTTCCCTTTAAGTTTGCCACATTATCATCATCACCGCCGGATTGGGATTTCTCCGCTAAATATACCAAATTACCATCACTACCGAAGCATCGCTATGGTTGTAATGTAATGGTGCTGACAGGCATTTGTTCTCCAGCTTTTGCATTCTTCAGATGGGGTAAGGATAAAAAAGGATGGATTGTCGAAAACTGCACACTAACTGAACCTTACGCTTCAAACCATCGTATGCAATTCACTAATGCTATTGGATTTCAAGGAAAATTCTATGCACTGAGCCTGCAGGGAAGTCTAGCAGTTTTAGAAGACATTGATTCTTGTTTTCAAATCACGGCTACGGGTGCAAACAGGGCCGTGCCTTCTACAGTGTCAAGGCAATTCCGGGAGTATTTACTTGATTCGAATGGAGAAATCTTTTTGGTGTTCCTAATATCGAGAAAATCAATAAACGTAGTGGATGATGTTGAAGTTTTTCGACTTGACATTTGTAAACTTTTGTGGGTTAAGGTCGAAAGCCTTGGGGATATGATGTTTTTCGTGGAGGACGAATGCTGTATGATCCTGTCTGCAAGTAAAGTAGGATGCAGGGGCAATTGCATCTAATTTAATTATAATAGAGTCAAGGATTGGTGGGTTTTTGACATGGAAACATGTTGCATCTCACCAACTTCTGGACCTAATATTGAATTCACAAAATCCCCAATGTGAGATGAACTAATGGAACAGTAATAAGTATAGGTACGTTCATTTTTTTCTTGTATTTGTCGTCAACTTGTTTATGTCCAATTTCATCTCAACCAAACTTTTTAGTTTTTACTCATGCAAAAGTAAAAAAGGAATGATCATTTCAGTTTTTACTCATTTTCACACTGATAAGCAGAGAAAGAGCATTCAAGCAGTTGATATAAACATCCAAGAAAGTAAAGTACTACTTTAAATAAATAAGTCGAAACTTTCCTAGTCTTCCTGGGCTATTGGAAATACCAACTCGCAAAGATATGAGAAATACCTAACATTCACACAATAGCTATGCCAATAGAGTTATGTTTAGTCCCTTTTCTTTCTCGTTACTATTAAGGAACAAGACCTGAAATGCCCACACATCTAGCTGGTGATCGTGCTATATTAGGCACAAATCAATTATGGGTATCATATCGACCAAATATAATTTTACCTTATACATTATTTCTGTAAAAAGCCTTAGGGTAGATGTATAAGTAAAGTGAACCATTATCAATAAAATATACTGGAATTTATCTTTTTCTTCATTCTACATGAATGGAGGGAGCGGATGAGAGTGACGGTATAAGGATCGACCCCGTATTTAGTTTTTGTACAAGCAACAGACGTGGTCTATTTCTTGCGGTCCATGTAAGAAGATTGGGCCAACGAAAGATGCGTACCCCAATCGTAGACTTATGATCATCAACCGAGCCGGTCCAATCGGAGCCAGATAACCCATATGGTGAGAGGCCAGAAGAGTGATGAAACAAGAGCCCATGTTCAAGAGTGCCTTTCACGCAATGAAAAATGCGTTTGACAACTTGTAAATGGGTGGTGCAAGGGGCAAAAGAAATATCAAGGCGAGAGAAGGTAAAAATCAATTATTGAATATTTGTACTTTGATCTCCGAACTTTGAATTTCCTCTATTTTAGCCCATTTTTCGTTCCCCCCTTTTTTTTCAATTCACTTCAATCACTAAGTTTTACCTAACAAACAATAAAAATACGAGATTAGGCTATGATTTATCCAAAGTAATTTAACATATCCTAATTTAATGGTTTAGATAAGCTTTCAAAATACACTTATCAACAATCGATTAAGTATAGAAGTTAAATTAGAATTACACCTTCAAGGTTAAGCGATTTAAGTAATAAAGTCAAACTTTTGCCAGATGACAAGTCTTTCAAGTATTGGCAAACTTTTGACTCGTGTGCAAGTGTAAAATGGAATGACTGTTTCAGCATTTTCTAGATGCTTTTGAAAAAATCAAAGGAGTGATAATAAAAGTTTCAAGCAAGCAAACGACTCAAAAATTTTGAATACTTCAAGGTTAAGTCCCTAGAAGGAAACATCGACTGCTATACAAAATATAAGTGCAGATAGAGATTAAAAAGTGCCTCACAGCTTATTTGAAATCATAAACCAGATGTAAAATGGTGAGAATTCATGCTGCAATCAACCAGATGTGCATATTAAAACTACTTACTAAAAACAAGAACAAAAAAACGAATAAATAATTAAATAAAATCTATAATAATATAATTTTGGAGTCTCTCAATCACAAGAATTTCGTTACCAAGGTACAGTTTACACTAACCATAATTTAGAAAAGAACAGAGAGTTGATTCCTACGAGTTTAAGCACCCAAAAAATTCGAACGAATAGTACTCAGTATGTGTAAAGAAGCGCTGCAGATGGACTGGAAGATGCAGAAGACGTGGTTATGTTTGAAGAACTGGTGCTGTAACCATAGCTCCGAGATTGATGCTCATTACTCCCTTGCACAGTTGAACCCGTGATAGTTATAGGAGGGAAATATGTAGGCACTGGCATCATTGAGGGGAGTACGGGCAACTCTGCCTCGAAATTAAGGACGTGGATAGCTTGCCTTATCGATGGCCGGTGTCTGTTGTCTGGATGAACACACCATAGCCCAACAACCATCAAGTATTCCATTTCTCGAGCATCAAATTTTGCGCATAGTTTTGGATCTGCTGCATCAAGTAGTTTTCCCTTTCCGTAGAGGTTCCAAACCCATTCCACCATTCTTACTTGATCTTCTTGCAATCTTGTATCGATTGGTCTTCTTCCACATGCTACTTCCAGTAATACAACTCCAAAACTGTAGACATCAGATTCTTTGCTAGCCCTGCCAGTGATGACACATTCGGGAGCCATGTATCCCATTGTCCCGGCAAGCATTGTTGTTTGGGATCCTTTTTCGTGATCAACGAGTCTAGCTAATCCAAAATCACCGAGTTTCGCCTTGAAGTTGGAATCCAGCATAACATTGCTAGATTTTATATCCCGGTGCACAACACATTGTTCCCACTCTTCGTGTAGATAAAGCAAAGCTGAGGCCAAACCTTGGGCAATTTTGTACCTTACTTCCGATGGCAAAACTGATTTGTTTTTGAATAGATGAAAATCTAAGCTGCCATTTGGCATGAACTCGTAAACAAGTAGGAATTCTCCTCTTTCATGGCACCAACCGATGAGTTGCACAAGATTTTTGTGCCTCAGTAGGCTGATAATCTTAACCTCTGACGCATACTCTTTTATTCCTTGCTTAGATCCCTTCGCTACCCTCTTGACAGCAATATGAGAATTAAGTTGTGTCAAGAAACCTTTATAAACTCCACCAAACCCCCCTTCTCCGAGCTTATCCTCCTCTGAAAAGTTGTTCGTCGCCAAAGCCAATTCATTGTATGAAAACCTTTTAGGGCCACTGCCCTTTTCGAATTCATTGTCCATAGACAGATCATGAAAATGCTCATCCCCTTTTTTCTTCTTATACTCTCCACAACAAATAGACCACCAAACCCGAAGCAAGAACCAGAATTGACATTCCGGTGCTTAATCCGACAACCAGTCCCCCATTATTTTTCTTTCCACCAGTGATGACGTTGGAGC